GGTGCATATTATATCCCTCGCCTTTAATTCCAACAACAGTGCAGTTGCTAATCTCTGAAATCATTTTTACTGTTCTCTAAACACTTACGGGTTTCCATCAAGTGTGAAATGTTGAGCTGGTCACTGGGATCCGGAGAGGAACAAGACACTCTGCTCTCAAGAAGTGCAGGCTAATAGCCCAAGCCCACAAACACAGCCCAGACATCACATGGGTTACCCGCTCTATAAAAGTTAATGCACTTGGCACAGATTCCCATTTCATGCTGTGTTAGTTTTCCATTGCTGCATAATAAATTGCCACAAACTTAGTGGCTTATAACAACAGACAGGTTTTTTTTAGCTCCAGGTTCCCATGGGTTAGGAGTCTGGGTGCAGCTTAGCTGGTTCCTCTGCTCAAGATCTCACAAAGTAACCGTCAAGGTGTTGGCTGGGTTGTGCTCCTGTCTGGAGCTTGGAGTAGTCCTCCAAGCTCCTGTGATTGTTGGCCCTCATGGTTGTAGGACAGGTTCCACTTTCATGCTGGTCATTAGCTGGAGGCTGCTCTCAGGTCCCAGAAACCACCTCAGTTCTTTGCCATGTGCTGTCACAAACCCTCACAGCACAGCAGCTCACTTCAAGGTTGGCAGAAGAATCTCTACCTCCAGGCTGCAATGCCAGAGTCTTATATAATGTGACATAACCACAGGTGTGACTGTCCCCTTGCCTTTTCCATATAACAAAACTTAAGCAAAGGAGTGACATCCTGTCACCTTTGCCATCTTTTGTTGTCAGAAGCAATTCACAGGTTCTGCTCACACTCAGGGAGGCAATTATCAAGGGCAGGCCTCATTAGGAGGTGCCACTATGCACATTCTTTGTAAATTCTTCTCAAGATTTAACTGCATCCCATGTACAGGAGGGTGGGTAGAGTCTCAGCTTCTGGGTAAGGATGCCTGTTTCTGCTAAGTTAGTTCAGCTGTGGGACACCACACTGTCCCTTCTCCCTATGCATTGACCCAGCCATGGACTTCAACTCCATGTTCCATGACAACCAAAGACAAACCACTCACAGAAGGCTGTGGTGGGTGGTTTGCACTGTTTGCAAGAACATGGTTTCTAAAAACCTACAATTTTAGACAATCTTGCTATTAAAAATTCTCCAGCATGTGGTTAAGTTATATTCTCTCCTCTTCTTGGTGAATCCTGGCCCTCAACACCAATCCCCATCTCCTACTTCTGGTAAATGTTTATTGCTGAGTAGATCATCAGTCTCATGCCTTCAGGGTTACAACTTCTATCTCAATGAGGTTGGTAAGGTATCTCACTAGACAAGGGCAGTTCCCTCCCTAAGAGGAATTCTAGTGCCACATATTAAGATAGTATGTTTTTATTTAGCATACAGTGCAACCAAACAATTGCAAAATGGTAACAGGTTTTGAAGGGAAGGGAAGGGATCACACAGAGGAGCCTGCAGAGAGCAACTGGGTTCAGGAAAAGCTCTGGAGGCACAATATGCCTGGCGTGGCTAGGCACATGGGTTCAAGGAGTTTGAGGAATTGCTATCACTCAGCATAGCTGGCCTGGGAGCGGGTAATCAGCAGGAGATGGTGAGGCTGTGAGGAGTGTGAGGACAGATCATGAGAGGTCTACACCATTGCTAAGGGAGAAGATCTCTGTTTCCATGAATGTTTGCACTGTCTGCATATGCATGTGTTGTTTATGATGCCTAAGAGGCCATGCTCCAGGCCAGGTCAAAACACATAAAATGGAGAATGTTCTGGATAAACTGGGTTATATGATCAACCCCAGCTAAGCCTGGAATATCATTCTAACCTCTGGGCCATAGCACCTCCTGGATGCTTTCAACCCTGTACTGCCAAAGAATCTGGTAGACACTTGGATCATAACCCCAACCACACTCTCCTGTAATTATTTGTCCTCTGTTTCCCTCACAGAACTAAGGAGTCCATGAAAATGAGGACTAGGTTTTGTTCATGTTTGTGTCCTTCAGACCAGTACTATACCCGGGACAAAAGAGGCCCTCAATAAATTGATATTAAATCACAATAAAATAATAGCTAACCCTTAATGAATGCTAACTATCTGCCAGGCACTCTTCTTGGCACCTAACATGGATTATGGGCACTTTCCTTAAATTCAATTTATGGATAAGGAAACCAAGATGTAGAGAGGTCGTATAATTTTCCTAAAAACAGAGATTATATGAGAAGGAAGAGGATTCTAATCCAGGTCTAAACTCCAGGGCCTATGAATGAATGAAATGAAGTCTTGAGAGAACTACAGTGTGGGCTTTCAGGGTCTTCTGAGCACGACTGAGTTCCCCGCATGCTTCCCAGGGCTTCCTGGATGGTCAGCAATGAGCATGTGTCTGGGAGAGCCACATGATCCTAAAGAGCTGATGGAATAATTCCCCACATCCGTTGTCTCCTGTCAGAACTACAGTGTGGGCTTTCAGGGTCTTCTGAGCACGACTGAGTTCCCCGCATGCTTCCCACGGCTTCCTGGATGGTCAGCAATGAGCATGTGTCTGGGAGAGCAACATGATCCTAAAGAGCTGATGGAATAATTCCCCACATCCGTTGTCTCCTGTGGTCCTCACACTTGTTGGGAGCTCCAGGAAGATTCATTATTCCCATTCTACAGATGAGATGACCCAGTTTTCCGAAGTCAACGAGCTGCTCAAAATCATGTAAAGAGCACCAAAGCCTCCTTTTGAGCCCATGTGTTTGGACTCCAAACTCCGTGGTTGTCTTACTGACAACTCAGTTACTCTGATGGTAATGATGCCTTCTGATGAGTTTCTTCATCTCTAAAATGAGAAGATCATATCTACCTTGGGAGGTTGTTGTGAGGATAATGAGCTGTTATGTGAAAAGCAGCAAGTCATAGGTGCTCACTAAATGGTGTTGGTGGGAGTTGATTGTTTCCATCATCATCACCATCACCTGAGAAGAAATTTGGGGCTCTCGGTAGGCAGATTCCAGGCATGGGTCAGAGTCATGAATTTCAAGTAAAATAGCCAAACACAGGAGGGAGTTGGGAATCTTGTTTAAGTTTCTAAGCAGAATTGTCAACACAGAGATTCAGACCTGCTGAGCAGGAGGTTTATTGATCAGAAAATGTGATCAGGATCACCAAGGGTCAAAGCCAGGGCTTGGGTCCCAGCCAAGGCCAGGAGCAGACATTTCCATCCTCCTTACACCGTAGTCATTACCATCACAGCATTAAACACCTTTCTGTTTGTCTGCACTGTGAGCTCAAGAGGACAGATCCAGCTTATTCATCATTGAATTCCAGCTCTGTGTTCCCAGTGTCTGCCATACAAATATTGAATGAATAAGTGAATGAATGAATGGATGAATGAACAAACAAAAAATCTCAACACAAAGAAATAATAAAGGCACGAGGTGATGGATGTGCTAAACACTCCGATTTGATTATTACACAATGTCTACATGTATCAAAATATCACACTATGCCCCATAAATATGTACAATTATTGTGTCAATTTAAAAAAAGACCTAGTTGAAATTTTTTTCAATTAAAGGAAATTCATTCATTCATTAGTTAGATTCTCCAGTCTCTTTGGATTGTGCATAAGGGCACTCTGCAGGCACAATATGCCTGGCGTGGCTAGGCACATGGGTTCAAGGAGTCTGAGGAATTGCTATCACTCAGCATAGCTGGCCTGGGAGCGGGTAATCAGCAGGAGATGGTGAGGCTGTGAGGAGTGTGAGGACAGATCATGAAAGGTCTACACCATTGCTAAGGGAGAAGATCTTGAGAGAACTACACTAGCGTGGATACAAGGCTTGTTGTTCCCTTCCGCTGTTTTCATAACACACGATCTCCCCTACAGCTCTTCTTACTTTCTATTATGCTGTGTCTTTTCAGTGGGATGTGCTGAAAAGCTGACCATTTTCACGTACACAGGTGTTTAATATTGTTAAATAAAAAGAGAAGTGCTCTAAAATTCAAGTGTGAAAGAAAGGCAGTGTGTAAAAAAAAAAAAAAACAAAAAAGCGTAGAATCTAGGAGGGCAGAGATCCAGATGACCTGGAGTTGGAGAGCTTGGAGTATGTGCTACCAAGCCTCACCCACGGACTTGTAAGTGCCCTCTTGGACACCCAGGGAACCTGGTGCTGACTGCTGAACCACAGACTCTCCTCTAAGAAGGAGAACCATTTTTCCTTGTTAAAACAATAAATCATTCTCTCTCCCTCTCTCTCTCTGTCTCTCTCTCTCTCTCTCATGCACACACACACACACACACACACACAGAGTTTATCAAAATAATAATCTCAAAGGACTGTTTGCAGTTTGCTCCTGCTCAGGCAGGAGCATAAACCAGATGATCTTTCAATGAATTTTAAAGAACCAGCATCTAGCCTCCTTCACTGTGGTGGTTCTTACTCTTCCCTGTATTTCAAAAACTATTCTGAAGATCCCCAACTGAAAGAGGTGGTTTCCTTTAGTAGCCATTGGCTGCAAAAGGAATCATATTCATACATGGTAATAGAAGTCTTTGCTTCATTTATCTTTGGAATGAATTTGTATTGCCTTTATCCTAAGAATATTTTCATATATTTTCAAAAATCATAGTCCAATACATGCAAGACACATTATTAATTTATTCATATTCTTGTTGATTTGACAAAACTTATATATAGTATCTTTTGGTCTTTCAGGAACCTACAGCCCGCCAGGTTTGGGGCCAGATGATATAATGTGGATTCTAACTAACTGATTCTACTAACTAGCAGGTTAAGTAAAAGTATGCACATTGCTTAACCTCTCCGAGCCTCGTTTTCTTTAACGGGGATAATAATTCCTACCTGCCTTACGGGTTGTCAAGAAGATTAAATGGGATAGCTTATCAAGGGCATGAAAATGTCCATTGGAAGTTGAAGTTTCATCCTGGCTGACAATTTTCCGTGTCTTAGCCTGAAGAGCAAAACAGGACTCAAAGTTCCTTATTCTCTTTTTTCCTTCCCCTCTAGCTTCCTGATTGTCCTGGGGTGCTTGATTCTGGCTGTCCTGACTACATTCAAGGAGTATGAGACCGTCTCGGGAGACTGGCTTCTGTTACTGGTGAGATTGCTGACCTCTTGCATTCTGGAGAAGACAGCTCTGGTTGGCCTTCCACACTGATAAAAAAGAGGTCATCCTTGGGTACCATTCTGCCTGTCTGACGGTGGCTTCTGGGGGTCTCCAGCCAAGTCCAGGCCGAAGAAAAAGCAATGCATCAATCACGTGGTGAGGCCTGCCACGGGCACAGGTGGCCTGAGGAATGGCGTTCCTCATAAGGATGTCCTATTCCACATTAGAGATAAGGGGAAATAAACAAGGTCAAAGCAAAAACCCAGTGCATACTATTAAACTGTAAAATACAGCTTCCCAATCCTCTGAAAGTGAAAATGAAGGCATGTTTTATTCTAAAACCTGCCTCTGTTTTTTCTCCCTGGTATCCTTCTCCCTAAGCCCTGAGGAGCTCTTATTCTCTTCAAGGCCAAGTGCAAAATCCCATTTCTATATAAAACTCCTATGTCCTCCCTCCTGGGGGCCTCTATTTGATCTCTCTCTCAATTATCCATCAGTGGTGTGATAGGGAAACAGCGGGGTTAGAGTTCTTGGGCAAGTTAACTAATGTGCCCCTGATCTGGTTCCTCAGGTCCTTGCCTAAAAAAATAATGTAAGATCAGGTGAGGGGCAGATGCTGGTGTGGGCTGGCCCAGCCTCGATGCCTGGCCTGGAGGAGGTTCCAGGAAGGCTCATTCCTGCGACATCCCTGGACAGCACTCTCAAGTGGCCCTTGAATGACTGCACCCTTGCTAGGCTGAGAGTCAGCCCAGCCTCTTCACGATGATGGTGACTACATGGGGCTTGGCCCTGCCCTCCGCAGAGGGAAGGTGTGCTAACCCACTAATTCGGGTTCACAAAATAGCAGAGCCTTTGCCCACACTGGGTATGCCATTGCTGGTACCGGAGTTAGCAGGTTCCTCAGGGAGGCAGGTGTTTGCAATCCGTACGGACCCGAGCTGAGGCCTGAATGAGTGAATCCTGGGAAACCATCTAGTTCCAGGAACTAGGTTTTGGGGATTGCTGTGGAGCAAGAACTCCTTAATGGGCCCAGGAGGGTCCCAAAAGAGAGAGAGATGACAGTGTCATTGTTTGATCATAAAGGAAGATGCAGGTGGGTAGAGGGGACCCTGTGTCTTTGGAGGCAGCATGGCATAGTGCTTAAATGTGTGGGCACTGAGCCTAAGTACGTGAGCCTGGGATCCCTTCTTGCCACTTCATAGCCTTGAGAAATGTACTTAACCACTCTGTGCCTTGGTTTCTCAAAATGTAAGATGAGGGTGACATCATAAAACATTTGGCATGGTGTCTGTCCCAGAAGCCACACTTAGTAACCATTAGCCACCATTAGTAACGCCAGGGCCCAGGCACTGAGTGGGATTGGTAGGTTGTGTTTCATCGATATCTCTCTTTTCAACCAAACTGCACTTCTTAGGGGCTTTTGGTACATTAAAGACACTTTTTTTTTTTTTTGTCCTTTTTGAAACCGGCTGCACCGCGCTCAGCCAGTGAGCACTGTGAGCGCACCCGTCATCCTTATATAGGATCTGAACCTGCTGCTGCGCTCCCAGCGCCGCACTCTCCCGAGTGCACCACGGGCTCGGCCCTAAAGAGACTTTTTTAAAAAATGAATCTTTGGAAATAAAACATGGACAAAGAACAAGTAATCACTTTGCAAGGCTTAACAGTGTTCAGGACCATTAGCACATCAGAATGAAGTTGGAGCTCTCCAACACTGAATGGAGGTGATCAAACTTCCCCTCTCTCCTTCTCCACCACCAAAACTACAATAGCAACACCAGAAATCCAGGTCTTCAGATCTTTGGAACAGAAATCACCTGTCCCAGACACCCGGGTCGCAGTTAATCAGTGCCTCTCCACATGCTCTTCCATGCAGGAAACATTTGCGATTTTCATCTTTGGAGCCGAGTTTGCTTTGAGGATCTGGGCTGCTGGGTGTTGCTGCCGATACAAAGGCTGGCGGGGGCGACTCAAGTTTGCCAGGAAGCCCCTGTGCATGCTGGGTAAGCTCTGACCCCTGAGTCTATGATATCCTCAGTCCCCTTCTTTGATGCATTATTTCTCCAAGGAAATTTTAAGCAGACTCTATTCTGGGAAATCAAGCAGCACTGTAAAGGCCATGCCAGCCTCTGACCCTGCCTCCATGAGGAGGAACAGTGCCAACATTCCGGGTGCTGAAATTCCTCCTAATTTTGGGGGTTGGGGGAGACCCTTTGCATTTGGGCAGTGAAGGAACCTGCAGGTTGCAGGGTGTTGACCATCTCGGGTCCCTAGACTAGTAGCACCCCCAGTCATTATGACAATCAAAATTACCGTGCATTTCCAGACTGACTAAGGTGGGCCTGGTAGGCAGAATACCATTGCTGGTTGAGAATTTACTTCTATAGGACTATGTTATGCCCATTTTGCAGAGATGGAGACTGAGACTCACAGCTGAGTCATTTTCCAGTCACCCAGGTAATAAGCAGCAGTTTCCATCCTAACACCCAAATCTGGAAGATTCCACCATCTGTGCCCTCCCCACAACTACGTTGCTTGTGTCCTGATCCAAAAGTGGCTTCTAAGAAGTGTCACTGGAATCCCTCCATCAGGGTGCAGGCATTTTGATAGTAGAGCAGGTGGAAGCTCTCACTGGCCTATTGGTGTCATGTGGACCCATGTGTATTCATCTGCAAGTGCTACTACAACCCATGTAGTGACAGAACAAAATCCCTTGAGCTATGGCTAGGAGTTTTGAAGGGGTTCTGCTTATAGCTCAAAGGAGTCAGCAATGACTTTGATAACAGTCTCTTCTCTGTCTCTCTCTCCTCTCACTTCTGCTTCCTGGGATCACCTCCCAATAAATTACCTGCACCCAAGACCCTATCTCAGGTGATGCTTTTAGGGGAACCCACATTAAAATAGTTTCCTGAGCTTCAGGCTTCCCCTCTATGGGCTGAGTAACCCCCAATCTGCTCTCATCCTGAGAACAAATCTTAAGTGCCACACTGGGGGTCCTGGGAAATCATTGCTCTGGGGTATAGAGCAGCCAGCCTTGCAGTTCACAGGGCTGAGTCCAGTCCCAACTCAGCTACTTCTTGCTGGGTGGCCTTGGGAAGGCACTCATGCTTAGAGCTTCTGTTTCCTTATCAGTCGCAGGAGAACAATTCCACTTACTACCAGTGGTTGATGTCAGAATTCAATACAACAATGCTTAGATTGGTCCACTGCTTGGCACTTGCTCATCTGCCTACAGACAACACCTATGATCATGCCGTTGCCTTCACCTGACCTTCCCCCCCCCACTCCTGCCTCTCTCTCTGTTTTCTTTTCCAGACATCTTTGTGCTAATTGCCTCTGTGCCAGTGGTTGCTGTGGGAAACCAGGGCAATGTCTTGGCCACCTCCCTGCGAAGCCTGCGCTTCCTGCAGATCCTGCGTATGCTGCGAATGGACCGGAGGGGTGGCACCTGGAAGCTCCTGGGGTCGGCCATCTGTGCCCACAGCAAAGTAAGTGCCACAGAGAAGCCACGAGACCACATGGGCTTCTCACCCACCTCTGCCCTTTCATGGCATCTCCTCCTTACAGTGTTTTCAAAAGGTGGCCACTCTGCAACTGCTGATGATAATGACATGGAGGAGGGGGAGGAACATGAAGAAGAGGAGATAGTAAGCAGGTGTGCTGAGCAGCTGTGCTGAGCAGCTGTGCTGAGCAGGTGTGCTGCAGGGAGCAGAGACACATAGACCTGGACCTAGGTTTCTGCTCCACCGTACGCAAATCACTTCAGCTGAGTCACTAACCACTCTCTGGCTCTCAGTTTCCGCATTTCTAAAACAGAAAGGGAAATGCCTACACCTCCAGATTGTTGCGAGGATGAAATGAGCTCATGCAAGACAACATGAGGTGAGAGGGAAAGGTACAGGAGTCACACAGACTGGGTTGAATCCAGACTCTCCCTGTGTGACTTTGGAGGTGTTTGTAACCTCTCTGGGTCTCAGTTTCTGCATGGGTAAAATGGGAATGAAAGCATGCTTACCTCGTAAGTTGATGTGAGGATGACATGAACTGATGCACAGAGAACCCTTGAAATGTATCCAGCTCATACAAGTTCATTCCGTAGCTACCAAAGCTCAGTGCTTAGATCTCAGTGTCTGACTCGGACTAGCTCCCCCTGAGTCCGGCACTGTTGTTTCCCCAGAACACCGATAAGGAAGCAGACACACAAAGAAGAAGTTCCTTGCCCAGGGTCACGCAGTGGGCTACAGTCCCAGGCAGTCTGTGTCCAGAGCCCAGGTCCAGCGGTCTGCTGCTGGCCGTGGAGGTGCTCATGTCTCCAAGGAAGGTCAGAATCTAGAAGGGGTGGGACTTGGTCTCATCTCCTTCCAGAGTGCCATGTAGTTAAGCAAGCATGGAACACAAGCAGCCCGAGTCCTAAGGGTCTGGATTCATTGTCCTCCTTGTACTTCTTTCCTATTGTTAACCCAAGCCTTTGGCACCTCTTTTAACCTGGCTGCTTAGCTGGACCCTGGAGGAATGAAGAAAAATCTCTGTGTCTCAGTTCAAGCAAGAAAAACCCCTGGGAGGCCAGAGCAGGAAAAATCAGAGGGAAGGACCCCTGGGATGGGTGTTTTTCGAGTATAAGGTCATGGCTGCCTTCCTTACTGAGAGGGTATTTTCCTGTGCCAACCATGGTGGGCACCATAGATTCTGTTGGTGCCTTGCCAGATCCCCTTTGCTGGGAACCCTATGACCACCTTCTCAATAATCACATGCAAATAAATCACACGCATCTAAATCCCTGTCTCAGGTTCTGCTACTGGAAAACTGGACCTGAGGCAGGAAGCCTAGGGCAATTTGAATTAAGGAGCTCAGTTTTCTTTGAGTATTAGCATAAGTATACTGCCTCTGCTGGACAGCCCCAGAACATACCCACACAATGCCTGGTTCTTATACCTCAGATGCACATCCAGATATGTTGGGGTGTGGTTTCCTATGAGATGGCATCTCCTGGTAGATTTAATATAAGCTTAGGAGTCAGACAGCAACTTGGTTCAAAATTCAACTCTGCCACTTTCCAGCTGTAAGACCTTAAGGCCGTCACTCTACTTACGAGCTCCCTCTGTGGTGAAATGTGAATCCTCCCGGCTGCTCATGTGAGAAAAGGTGCATTTAAGTGCCTAATAAGTGGTTGGTCCTCAGTAATGGCAGCATTTATTTTTCTGAATATGCTCTTCTCCACAAACCATGCAGATAAATATGTAAATAAAATGAAATAAAAACATAAAATACCTGGGAATCTGTCACCTCAGAATGCAGTTTCTTGCCATGAATGTTTTATTCTCTGTGTGTGTTACCTGTGGCCACAGGATCAGTGAGGTCAGAGTTTTCTTTACAGAGTTCTTTCTTCCTCCCAACCTTCTATTTTATCTTTTATCAGAGGACATGTTCACAACACTCCCGGGCTCAGCCTTAACCTTGTATCCATGGAGCTGAGCTGATTCACAGCTCAAGAATAATCAGCACTAAAAATTGCTGGTTTTGGTTCTTGTCCTGTGTTCCTGCAGACTAGAATAGATCCCCAGTGTCTGCTGACTATTTGCCATGTAATTACCAGGGACCGTTGCATGTTTTGAGATGTAATTCCTGAGGAAAGATGGACTTACACTGTAGCCAGACCCCACAACTGAGACAGGGACTCTTCCCCAGGGTGGGAAAAGGCTCCGAAGCAGAGCTCTCTGCTCACAGACATGGATATACTGAGCTCTTTACACTGTAGCCAGACCCCACAACTGAGACAGGGACTCTTCCCCAGGGTGGGAAAAGGCTCTGAAGCAGAGCTCTCTGTTCACAGACATGGATATACTGAGCTCTTGCTGAGCTCTGGAGTATCTGCAGTGAGTGCTCACGTAGGCCTGTGCTGCCAGAGCTGAGAGGATGTGCTTCCCCTGAGGGAGTCACCCGTGGCCCTGGTAACCGAGCACTTACCAATTCACTTCTTCATTCATTCACTGTACTCTGGCCCAAGTATTATGCCTGACTCCTCTGGGCACTCAGAGATGAAAAGTGGGAGGCCTGTGTTACACAGAATTAGGCTTTTACTAGCGAGGATAGGCCAGGCTCTGCTCCCAGAACAAATAAGCCCCGGATCCTCCACCACCTAGCACAAATACGGGACTCACACTATGTCCAATGTGTGCCGTGTGGGCCTTGACTATCATAAATATGAGGTCTCAAGACACCGAGACAGGGGAAGAGGGGACTAGAGCATCCTGCAGAATGGATTCAAGGAACAGGAAGGAAATGTCTCCCATCACTTCCTTACACTGGCTGGACCCCATTCTCTTTGCCCCGACCTGATTCAGGGAGCCTTGGCAGGTGGAGAAGCCAATGTGTCAGGGGACAGCCACAGCCACAGCCACAGATTCTGCCACTGAGCTGCTGGCAAAACTTGTGTAGAGTCAGGATTTAAATTGGCAGCCTTTTAAATGACTGCAAAGCACAGAACTGGGACCCATTTTCACTCCTCATTGGCGACCATTACACCATCTCTTTGTAATCCAACACAGCCATTTCTTCTGTGCCCACGTGAACAGACAGCTGTTTCTGGTTAAGCACCAGAGGAAACTTCTGACTTGCATTTGGGGGCCAGAGAGTATGAAAAAACACATAAACGCTAGAACTGTGCTCATGCTCAGACAGCCACTGGGGAAGGACCATCCAATTCTCCTCTCCTCAGACTCCCTTCAGGGCACACTTGCAGAGGGGAAGGGCTGCACTAACCTCTCTCCCTGCTGCAGAGTGAACCCACACAAGTGCAATTTGCATGTGATGCCATGAGCAAGGCCAGACCTTAAGCAAGTGAGCATTATAAAGTGTTAGAGTCATAGAGACGTCCGTTCGGAAGATACTGAAGGCATAAAGGAAGTGCAGCTGAACCCTGCCTCTAACAAGAGGAGCAAATATCCAGAAAACTTTCACTGAAGGTGACACGAATCTAAAGATGACTTCACACTGTTTGCATGGTTGGTCCCGCCAGGGGAGGGCCGTTCCGACAGCAGGACCCCTGTGAGCCGAGGTTCAGAGGGAGCCAGGGAGCAACCCTGAAGTGAGATTCTGTCGACCCAGAAGTCCAGCTGCAGGGCCACTGACATCAGATACAGGCAGGACAGAGATGTGAACGACATTGTTCTCCGTGATGACACAGCAGGAATGGCAGCTTAGTCTCCAGATGGTGTTTACCCATGACCTTGACTTTCTTCCCTCCCAACCTACCATGCTAAACCTTGAAACTGGGCTAGGATGAGAGAAATAGAGAAAGTTGGAGCTGAAGAGGGCATTAGGAATTGTCTCAATCAGGGGTTTGGGAACTTCAGTGGTTTGCTGATCTTTGCCATCTCTCTGTACCATCCTTACTATTACTCAGCATTTTTCTTTAAATCATCTTACTCTTGTTTAGTCATATGTCCTAGTCTATCTTGTGATAATATCCACAAAATCACAGGTTTTATGTATTATTATGCTTATTTTTCATGTGCCTTAAATCAATATATGACTATTTAACATAGAAACTGTTTATCTACATTCTACCAGTGGAACATGGGGCACTTTCAGGAACTGTGGTCCAGTCCTTTATTTTGAAAATAAAGATAGGAAGGCTGGGAGGAGGGGACAGTTTGCTCAGGGTCACACAGTAAATTGATGGCAGGGCTGGGTCCCTGTCCACAGCTCTGGCCACTGTGCCATGCTAGCTCACCCTTGCTGTCAGTTTCCCAGTAGCATTGAGCTGGTCCTTGCTCTGCCCAGTTCTGCATAGAATCGAGTCTCCTGAATCCTGAGCCTTATCTTAGAGGCAATGGCCTTCTTGTCTTCCTGTGAAGTCTCTTGAGCTGTGATGTCGAGGTCACCCTGAGCCAGAAATCTTCCTCTCCTGCTAGAGTCGTGCACTCGTTCTGTTAATTAATGATGGAAATAATGACCATATTACTGGTCTCATTTTACACTGATGGGAGGCAAGGACCAGAGAAGGTGAGTAATTTGCCCACAGTCATAGAGCTGGTAAACCTGGACTTCATCTCCAGGGTGTCTGGCTCCATCATCCACCCAATGACTTCCCAATGACCACTCCCCTGTCCACTGCTTACTCTTCCAGGAACTCATCACCGCCTGGTACATCGGTTTCCTGACACTCATCCTTTCTTCATTTCTTGTCTACCTGGTTGAGAAAGATGTGCCGGAAGTGGATGCACAAGGAGAGGAGATGAAGGAGGAGTTTGAGACCTATGCAGATGCCCTTTGGTGGGGCCTGGTGAGTCACCACCTGGAGGGCCAGTTCTATGGGGATTGACTGCTAGGGCCATGGGCACACTCAGCCAAGCAGCTGCAGTCTTCAGTCAGAGGTGAGAGCTAGACCTCTTTCATTGCTGAACCTGCCACCAAGAGAAACCCCTACCCCTCAAAAGGCATGCACCTAGAATGGTTTTTTCCATAGAGTTTATAAGAAGTCAGAGCTCAGAACAGTCTGATTCCATGGTCACTCAGGTGCCTCACCTCATTAGTCACAGGCTGTTTTCAGCCAAGCCACGTAGGTGCAAACACACAGTGGCAGATACACATGTGTGTACACAGACCTAAAAACACTCCTGGAAATGCACACACATGGTCCTAAAGTTAGCATTTATTGAAGACTTACTTTGCTCCAGAGCTTCACTCTAAGCACTTTACATTTATTAATTTACTTTAAACTCAAATAACTCCTATTATTAGCCCCTTTTGAAAAATGGGGAATCCGAGGCAAGAAGCAGTTAGGTAATTAATTCAGTGTCTCTCAACCAGTAAGTTGTTGACCTGGGATTTAAAGTCAGACACTCAGGCTCCAGAGGCCACACTGTTACCTGCTCTGATAGCCTGCCTTCCACATGCAGATACACTTGCATAAATACATGTGTACTGCTAACATAAACATGTAAACACACACAGTAACATACTACACACACCAGACACATGCACAGACGTTGGACATGCACACATATATACACAATAAATACAAATACACTTGCAAGCACACATATATTCATGAACATGGCTATACATAAAGTCACACATTTATAAATACACATACACACGAATGCACATGCACAATCAACAATGAACTATGTATATGATGTGGTCCCATAGGATTACAATGGAGCTGGAAATTTTGTATTGCCTAGTGACAGCATAGCCATCGTAACATCATAGCACGATTGCTTTCTTAAAAAATAGATTTAGTGTAGCCTACGTGTACAGTGTGGATAAAGTCTACAGCAGTTCACAGCAATGTCTGAGGCCTTCACATTCACTCACCACTCACGCACTGACTCACCCAGAGCAGCTTCCAGGCCTGCAAGCTCCATGCATGGTAACTACCCCATAAAGGTGTACCACTTTTTATCTTTTATACCATATTTTTACTGTATCCTCCCTATTTTTAGGTATATTTCGATACACAAATACCATTGTGTTACAGTTGCCTACAGTATTTTTTTTTCCTTTTTGTCTTTTTTCATGTCCGGCAACGGATTGCAACCCTCAGTGTTGCGCCCGTACCGGACCGGGACCGGCAACGGGATCGCAACCCTCCATGTCGCACCCGCACCTCGCTCAGCCAGTGAGTGGGAACCGGTCTGTATGTGGGATCCGAACCCTCGGCGGGAGCGCCACCGCACTCACAAGCGGCGCACTGTAGCAGTGCGCCACCGGGCCGGCCAAGTTGCCTACAGTATTAAGTACAGTAACATGCTATACAGGTTTCCAGTGTAGGAGCAATAGACTATACCATACAGCTTAGATGTATAGCAGCCTATACCATCTAGGTTTGTTTAAGAACACATTGTGATGCTCACACGATGATGAAATTGCCTAACAACACATTTCTCAGAACATAACCCCTTTGTTAAGCAATGCATGACAGTACATATGTGTGTAATTATCAAAACATTTGTTGATGATTAACTATAAGTTGGAAATCCTAATTTATAAACAGGTCTTAAGACTCCCACATCTCGAGATTCCCATGGGAATCTTGTTATAAATGGAGCAGCATCCAAGCTGGTACAGAAGCTTGTAGGTTGAGCTCATTGACATGTCACTAATTCCCCTCTCCCAGGGGTGCCTCATGTCTGAACTCTTCTCTCTTTAGATTACACTGGCCACCATTGGCTACGGAGACAAGACACCCAAAACTTGGGAAGGCCGTCTGATTGCTGCCACCTTTTCCTTAATTGGTGTCTCTTTTTTTGCCCTTCCAGCAGTAAGTACTTCCAATGTGTGACATCCCTAGTGTGACATGCAAGACCCCTCCCCATCTGGCACCAGCTCAGAATTCCAGCCTCACCTTCCATCCTTTCACACCCTAAATTTCAATCCCTATCAGGTCACTAGCCATTCCTTTGAGCATGGCCATCTTGCCTCTCTGCTGTGGCTTCTGTGCTCCCCTTTTCCAGAAGTGATACCTCCAAATAGATATTTCCCTTCCAAGCCCCCAGTTCAATGCCGCCTTCTTTAGGTTCAGTTAGTGGCTCCCTCGTCTGGGCATAACTCTGTAAAGACATTTCTGGCCCTGTGCTGGGATTGCACCATTCCATATCTGTCTCCCACCCCAAGGGACTGCAAGTTCCCTGGGGGCTGGGATTATGTCTTTCATCCATGTATTCCCAGTGCCTCCCACAGGGCAGGTCCTTCATATATGTGAGCTCCCCTCCCTTGCCCTATCATTTACTGGTTTGTGTAAAAAATGCATTTTCCTCTAGAGTAAGTCTTGACATATGATAGAATAACATTCCTAAAGCCAAGTGTCCACAAGGGTAATAATAGCAATAAAGATAAATAGCACTTATTGAACCTACCGTGTGCCTGGACCATGCCAAATGCTCCATCTACATCATTCCATTTCATCTTCATGACAACACTACGAGTGTGAGTTTGGGCTGTGTTTATCTTCATTTTCCAGATGAGAAAAAAAAAACAGGATTAATTATGTTAGTCAATTTCGTACCATCAGGAGGCTATTGGTTTGTGGAGCCAAGAATCCCAAATCCAGCTGGTTCTGAAGCCTGACTCTTAATCATGAAGCTTGAAAGAACTTTCTTAAATAGCAATCCCTCTGCCATGCCCTTCATCTGCCATCTTTTTGTGGGTGAAGTTCATTCTCCATTGGCAGCCCTACCACATCTATTTTTTTCTAAGCTGTTTGACCTTGGGCAGATGACCTTCCTAAACCTGTTTTCTCATGGGTGGAGCAGACGAGGGGGCGCGGGAATGCTACACAGTCTCTAAGTTCTCTTTCTGCTTGAATCGTGTGTGCTTCTATCCACTTCATCCACATGCAAGTCTGACCTGGAAATCAAAGCAAATCACAATTCTGGAATATTCTGCCTGTAGTAAATGTCTCAAGTGACAGTTCAGGCAGTAAAAAAGTTTTAAAAATTCAATTAACATTTACTGGGCATCCATTCTGTGCCATACCCATTACTAGGCAGTTCCTATACATTATTTCACTTTTTTCTTAAGAAAATTGTGAGGTAAGTACTATTATCCCATTTTCCTGTGGGAGAATCAGATGCAGCATGGATAAGAGGCTGGCCCAGGGTCTCTCAGCTGGAATGTGGCAGTCAGGACGGGAACTCAGGTCTTCCTGATTTGAAGGCTCCTTCCACTTAACCAAGTCCCTACTCTCTTGAAAAGAATGAAGGGGTTGTCCCCCCTCCCCTTTTTGTGCAATGTTGTCACTGCAGGGCCTCAAAACAGCATTGAACCCTAAGTCACCTGCTACCCCGGCAGTGGGTCTGGGGCACCGGAGACTCCAGGTGGGGGCTGACCATGGGCCTGACTTCCCCCTCCAGGGCATCCTGGGATCGGGGCTGGCACTCAAGGTGCAGGAGCAGCACCGTCAGAAGCACTTTGAGAAAAGGAGGAAGCCAGCGGCTGAGCTCATTCAGGTCTGTCTGCCTGGGAATGAACTGGAACAAGGCTCAGATCCATGTGTGGGGTATGTCTGTATGCACATGTGTGCAACCAGGCAGGAGTGAGTCTGCTTGCACATGCATGCTTGTGGATGGCCATGGGCATTGTCACAGGTATCTACATGACCTGTCTCTGTATGTACCTAAGGTGACAATCTTATCATTCCCCCATCTCAGTCCAAGTAAGAAATCAACCTAGGACTCAGGGATCAGCCCATCGGCTGTTTTACCGATAATGTTGGAGTGGAGAATTTGGCCTGGACCAGGGGCCCTACTAGGCTTCCTTCTCCTTCTACTCCCTACCCCAGGCCAGACCTAGGGATCCACAGGGAAGAGTCAGCCTAAAGTCCACATGCTTAGCCAGTCCGCTGCAAGGAGCACTGGCTGCCTCACATCTGCCCATAAGCCAAGAGAGAAAGAAATGCCTTACGTGTGCAAGATATTGAGCCACTTTGCCCATTTGTCCTGCCCAGTAGACAGTCATCAGCCAGTGAATATTTGACACCTGCCAGCTCTCCATCCCCAGCATGCCCCACCATGGGCTGCCAGGGTCACAGGAGCACAGTAAATAGGAAACTGGAGTGTCCTGGCTACAGCTGCCTGGATGCTCCGGGCATGACCACCCACTTGTGAACTCGTGTCCAGTTGTGGTGAGTGTCTCATAGGAGTCAAGAGCTTAAAGACTGTTTTAACGTGGTGGGAGTCTGTGCAAAAGTTTCAGGCGCCCCCAGGTCATTTCTGCCTCTCTTCTCTCCTCTTCAGGCTGCCTGGAGGTATTACGCTACCAACCCCAACAGGATCGATCTCGTGGCAACATGGAGGTTTTATGAATCAGTTGTCTCTTTTCCATTCTTCAGGCAAGTAGCAATGGATCTGAGTGCTCAGGGCATGGCTGGCCATCCCTCCTGTAGTCTGTATTTGTGTCTCATGGTTTCCTGGAGGACATCCTTCAGGGCAGTGGTGCCCAACCTTGACTGCACATTAGAAACACCAGGGAGCTTAAAAATTCCCAATGCCCAGGCCACGTGTCCCAGGCTAATAAAGTGAGTCTCTCAGGAGCTGGGGCCTAGGGATCAGTATTTTTTAAAGCTCCCAAATGACTTCAGTGTCTGGCCAGGGGTTTCCAGCTAGACGGTGTGGCATGGCTGGAAAGGGAAGGTCTGATCAGTGCTTGAGCAGGTCCGTGGACTGAGGAAGTGGAGAGCCAGCAAGTGGGCCACCCTACAATCCTGGACACTCCCCCACCTGGTCATGGCCTGCACCAACAGAGCACTCTGGACTTCAGGAAAAGGGAGGGGGAAGAGGACAGTAGGAAAAGGGCTATGGAGGTGCTATTTTGTGTTCTCAGAGGTGGGACACTGAATTAAAGGCCTCAGAGAACAATAAGAACCTCTTCCTGTGGCCAGCATGTAGGAAAAGTGAGAGGGAATTAATATGTACTGTGTGTTAAATACGTTCCAGGTATCCAAGTTCGTATTTCACTTAATCCTCACAGGTACCCTATGAGAAAAGTCAGAAGTTCTCAAATGTTAAGGT